AGGTTTTTTCCTTAGAAAGAAAAAAAGCAAAAGTTACTGTTTTGAAAGTGAACTATTAGGATTTTGGAAATTTTATGAAAGACATACATATAACAGCACTAATCAACATTACTTCCACATGAGAGTTTATGCCTATAATTGACTAATTAAACAATATACAGAGAAGATTCAATAATTTGAAATTTTAAGAAGCAGATCAGAGAAAATCATGAGGTTGATAAACCAAAAGTGAGGTGCTAAATCAAAGAGAAAGGAAATTTTTAAGATACATGACTATGGTATGTTAAATGACAAATATATATAAAATGAAAAATTTAGTTCCTGTGAATATTCACAAACTCTAAATCTTAGGTCAAAATGCAAAAAGAATGTAACATAAAAATGCACAAAGTAGAAAAACACAGTTAATTAAACTATTTGATATGAACATTAAACTGCCAGAATTTATAACTCTCACTTTTCCAGGCAGAATCATATTATCCTTTACTTCCTCTCTTAAGACTCTCCAACAAAATTCTGAGAAACATCAGAACAAAAACGGTTCTCTTCATCTAAAACAAACATAGGTGATAATTCATCAATGGGTTGTTATGTGCATTCAGGGAATACGCAGCAGGCAGCATGCTGCCAATGCAGCACAAACATTTGACACATTCATATGCATGTGTCAAACATGCAAGAACTAAAGATACTAAAAAAAAAAAAGAAAAAAAAAAAAGTATGGTTGATGCTGTATATGGCTCCCATCCAGGGAGAGGAAGACACTGAGCAAGGAACTACAAATGCACAACATATTATTTTGGAGAACAGAAATTTGTGGTAAGGAAGTAAAGGAGGAAGTAAACCTAGGATGCAGACAGGTGCTTCAAGGACACAGGTATAGGGTCTGGAAAGCATTCCTGGAAGCATAAATTCTAAGATGAAATATCAAACAACTATAAGTAAGGCAGGGAAAAAGACAAACAGATCCTGAGAGATGGAGAAAGGTGTGATATTTTCAGGAAATTAAAAAAATATATCCACTATAACAAGAGATCAGAGAGTGAGAGGGGAGATGTATTTGTGCAGGAAGGGTCAGGGAAGAAAATGCCAATCTCCATTCTTCCCTCATTATATATTAAGGGGCAAATTTTATTGGATGGATGATGGCACCATAGGGAAAGAATATAGGAGAAGGAAGATTTGCAGAGAAGGAAGGAAGATCCTTTTGAATTTGTGCAATGGACTTTGAGTTCCTGTGAGATATTAAACAAAAGTTGGGTAGTATCTGGGGGCACTCTTAAGAGATATCTGCCTGTGGGCCTCCTTGATGATGCAAGGGATTAAGTCTCAGCACTATGAAGCTACCCGCAGCCACTGCAGCATGAGTTCCATTCCAGGCCAGGGAGTTGACCCACATGGCACAGCAGACCTCTCCTGTCTCATCCGCAGCTCCCCTCAGTAGTGTATTTCAGTCATTCTACCTGTTCTGCTCCCCACTCTGTCACTGGTGAATCCTCTCACTCCCCAAAATTCTGGCCTGTATCCCAGTTCTTGTATGCATTAATAAATAAATCTTAAAAAAAAGAGATGTCTGCCTGAAATGGATATAATTTTGTTAATTGTTAAAGCATATTAAATAGACCACCTAGGTGCATGTCTTTGCCCTGGACAGAGAATAAAGAAACTAGAATTTAGCTGAAGAAATCCACAATAATGTTATCTATTTGGCTGTATAAGTGTGTGGAAGTACACTTACATGTGTGCAGAATGGGTTTTGAAGGATATTTATTGACTAGACAAAATAGATGTTCAGTCAAAACTCATGAATTTTGAGTTAGTTGTCATAAATGTTAGCAATGAAAAATCACAAAGAATTTTCAATATTAATTTGCTATCCAGGAATAGTTTCTAAACTGCTTTCTCATTTCTTCCTCCCCTTCTCTGTAGTTTTACAGAAATGGTACAACAAAATGATATGAAACAATGTTTAATCTAACATGAGGTGCTTATTAGGATGTAATTACTTGGCACTTGAGAATTATTTAAGTGCCCAAATGCTAAGTGACTAGCTCTTGGGCCAACCATGATATTTGTTTGTTTGTTTGTTTGTTTGTTTATTTATGCATACAAGAGCTGGGGTGTAGAATAGAGGTGTGTGGGGGGCTGTGTGAGAGGATTCACCAGAGACAGAGCAGGGAACAGAACAGGCAGACTGACTGAAATACACTGCTGAGGGGAGCAGCAGTGGAGACAGGAGAGGTCTGCTGTGCCATGTGGGTAGCTCCATGGCCGGGGATCAAACTTGTGCTGTAGTGGCTGCTCGTAGAGTCATAGTGCTGAGACTTAACCCCTAGCACCACCAGGGAGGCCCCATGATATTTATTTATTGCCCAAACACTAAATATAAGTACATGGTGAGCATAAAGAAATATGAATGTCCTTTGTCTTTCTATTAAATTTTGTTTATTTTGGAATAGAGAATAATTTCAGCTAAGGCTGGTTTAGGAGTAAGGGGAAGTACAGATTATCACACCTGGGCTGGGGGACACCAAGACTGACAGTAAAAAGTCGACTGATCATTCTTGAGTTGTGAAGCAGCAGACATTCATGATTCCTCAAATGCTTGCTGCAAACCATCCCCTAAATGAGTGTTGATTCTTTCTTCTTTTCCTTCACCATTCTTGTGCTTAGACTCAGTATTTATCTAGTCTTTTTCTTTGTAAATTTTGTTATGTTTATTAGCTTCCAAATGTATTAATGGACTTGAAGATTTTAAAAACAGAAGCTCAAAAGGACTAACTGAGCTTATTTAGTGAGGTAAAGTAGCAAAATATGATGTGCTTTTGAAATCTTGAGTTGTTCAACTGCTCATGAAACAAACACCTTTTTAGCAACTAGCCCAGAAACACGGATTCATCTACAATGACTTTTAAAGTTACATTTGTGAAAAAAAGCATGTTATCTAATCAAAATCATGAATATTAGTTAAGTGTTTTATTCAAAATTGTCTATTTTGAACAATATAAAACCAAAGAAAGTATGCAAGAAGTAAGTTATTAACTGATTATTCACATTAGACTTGAGGAACATCTTTTTAATTGACAGAATGAATGAATAATGAATTAATTAAATCGATGCATAAATAATCCCATTATAATTTATATGTGACTTTAAACACCTATGTATAATTGTTATTCAAGTGTTTTGTTTCCTTAATTATAAAATTATTTTAATGACTTTTCTATGGTGTCCCAGGAATAGCATTCTGGATAGCAAACATCAGGCAATTTTATAGTTAAATTTTTTTCTCAGAATAAGCAAATCACAATATAAATTGAGAGATAGCAATATTTCAAATAAGGCTTTATCCATAATGAAGTGTATATTTGAAGATATATGAATTTTAAAAATTTAAATAGAAACAACTATAGCTTTATTGATTACTAAAATATTATTGATAGCAGAGTTATAAAATATATGTCAATTATGCAAAAAATGTTTGATCATTGCCTGATCAATTCTTCATATTAATGGCATCTCCTGTTTATATACAGGTACATATTCTCAATAATTTTTCTTAAATTGAATTCTGATCACCTTGCTTGTTATTCTGTGGATCACAGATAATTTATATATCACATCTACCTAGAGACTCATGTGCTTCCTTAGACCAGTTTGGACATCAGCAAAGTTAGTACATACACACACAAATCAGGCCTGAGCCTTACACTGAATTTATTGAGGTTATTGTCCCTGATAAAGTCATTCTGGCTTTGTTGTAAGTTATTTACTGTTACCACATTCAATTTTTTTTTAGAAAGACATATAGCACAAACCTTATGATTTTAATAATATACACGCACATAACTTTTGCTAAAATCTATAATGCTTTAAACACAAAGTTTTTTCTATACCTACAATTGTATTATATTTGTATGTCCATGGAAATGTCATATAATAACATGTGATTCAAACCTTCAGATTTAAAAAATAATTATCTTGGTCTCAGGTAAAATAAATATAGGGCAAAAATATATAATATTCTTTCTCAAGGATTGTTTCCTCATCTTTTTGATTTCTTTTAATTTATTGCAATTACATGATAATTTACAAAATTGTATTTCCTTTACACTAAACTAAGAATGACACTTTTGGAGCTGATTAAGTAACACAATTAATGTCAAACAATATACCAAAAATGATTAAGCTTAGAATGCAAAATAAAAGCAATTGGGAAGATTATAGAAGTTAATCATTTTAGGCTTTCCTTTGAAGAATAATCTTCATTTGAAATAGACAATAAATGTTTTTACTGTTTAGCATTCATGTTGGTCGATTGAGTTTGTAGTCTAGAATAGACTTAGAATGCATGCTACCTTCAGATTTCATTCTTTCTAGTAGTGTGGTCTGGACAGTAAACATGTGGAACTCTTCTACATGTTTAATACAACTCCTTTTAGTATTCTAGGTTTGATTTTGCTCAGTAGATTTGTCTTATTAAAATGTATATAACAACATAATGAAACATTTGAAAAATCCCCATAGAACTAAACAATTTTATTTCTTGTTCACAACCAACTAGTCTATTTTGCACCTATCTTGCTTGCAGTGACTGTCACAAAATGAGAAGAGGAAATTTTTTAATGTTATGAAGCACCTATTTGACTAATTGCTATGAATAGCACAGAGAATAGAACTTTTCAGTCCTTCCTGCATTAGATTGGGCTTTAAGCATTCAATAAAACACATTGACTATGCCCAAAATTAAATCATACATTGTTTAAAATTAATTATTCGTTTTTAATTGCATTGTATAAACAGAAATGACCTGTTAATTTAAAGAAAATCTATCAGCGCAAAACGAATTCACTCATATAAACAAGCAAGATGAACTTGACCTTGTTTGAACTTGTTTTGATGTGGCCCAGATGGCAGGCTACATGCTTGAATAACAGGCTAAAGCTGAGGAAAAACTCATATAGCAAGATCTAGATTTATAGCCTTTTGCAAATTCCTACCTTGTATTGTCCTTTCAGCATCTGTTCTGCTGCCACTGCGGTCAGCTTCTATCTCTGGGGTCAGAGAGTCTAAAAACACAGAAAGGTAAGAGTGACACATATTTCATTTGATTCCTATTGTCCTTTGAAAAAGAGCAACCTGTTACTTTAGTGCTGAATTAAAATTACATAAATCTTTGTCAACTTGCAAAGGTTGAACAAAGACCATAACCAAAAGAATTGTCAAAAGATTTGAATGATACATAAGTAACAAAAACTTGATTATAAAAATAGCTCCGGGTAGCAAAGTTTTGAGATTAGTATTTTGTTACATTTTATTAGAGACAGGTTTGGTTAAACAGAGAAGCTATGTCAGGTCCCAGATACTAGTGTTAAGTAACAAAAAGGTGTTAGTGCCTATGAAATAAAGCTTTCTCCCAACACCAGCGACTATTCTACCTACCATGCTTTCAGCTACAAGCAATTTAAGGAATCACAAGACACAGAAACATACAAAGCCACAAACACATGTCTTTTGAGTACTAAAAATGAAAAGTAGTTACTCATGCATAAAGATGCACCGTCTTACCATTTAAGACCCTTAGACTATCTGTTGAAGCTGCCTGTTTTAGTGTTTGTTCTGCTTGCTCACGCCGTTTCGTCTCAAATTCAAGGGCTTCCTGCAATTTTCTCTTTGCCTTCTTCTCTTTCTTTAGCCTCTTTTGAACTATGGCTAGAAAAAAGTATATGCATATTAAAAGTTTTTTCATAATGTCCAAACTTACAAATGGTCTATATTTTGTTTATAATTTTTTTTTCCTGCTTGATAGAGTCTACCTTTACAGAAGAAGTTCATAAAACCTCACATTTTTAAATTCCAGCAAAATGTTCAAGAAAGCCAATTTCTATTTAGGTTGAATAAAAATGCCTTTAATTGTCATATGTAAAGATAGATTTAACAAGAAACTAATTTTAGTAAATATGAATATTCCCAGAAAATTGAGACCTAATTAAATAAATTTATGGCTTAATCTCTGCCATCAAGTGAGAATAGTTCAAAGTAGTTTGAATAGTGTAAACCTTTATAAGCACACTTCCTATCTCTTTATATGGCCTCAATTTTGAGTAGCTAATGGAACATTTGTTCCCATAAGTGCTTTGCACAAAACAGTTTTTCTCTGGTTAGGTTATTCATATTTATTTCTTAAGTTTGGAAAATGCAAAAATGTTTATTATTTATGAGGAGAAAAAAATAACAAATATAAGCAGAAAATATTTTGATGAAGCTACTATAATTTGCTCAAAGATACTAATTTCTTCATAGAAAGTTTATATGACCTACAATATTATGAAACATTATATATTCACTTTGCAAGAATGTAGTGGTTTATAAAACTTCACTGCTAACAGTAATGTGGTACTACTAGCAAAAATATGACTTTATTAAAATAGATTATGATACAAAAAACTCAATATACTTTTCCTACTTAATTTCTACTATTCAATTTAAATCTTTGTACATAAACAACAAATAATAACGCTAACAAATTTGCTCCATAAAGTGTATGTTAATTGAACTTAGTATGTATTTTCAGAATGATAACTATTTTATCTTTCACAATATATACATATTAAGCAGTCAGCATATGTGAAGCATACATGTAATTCTCTTTGAAATATTTTTCAATATTTGATAAACATTGTGGATTAGAAGATGACAGTACTAGTATAAGGAAATCCTTTTGGTTGTTAGTCATAAGGAGTAATCATTCCAAGTTTACATTTGGTATTTTATTACAGATTAAGACACTATGTACTCAAAGCATACAATAAGAATTTAATGTTCAATAAAAATTTAGTTTCAGTTTCTCACTTCTACATACCCTATTTTTTACCATTATTAATGCTGTTAGGAGAGCAGGACATTGATTGTTGTGTTTATTGTGGCTGAAATTATATATTAACAGAAACTGTTTTATCAAAATGTATATTGGCTACAGTCTTAGAAGGAAAACCATTAAAACAAGTTTCAAATCAAGGCTAATTTCTTTGTTTAGTTGTATGAATAGCATATGATTATCTTAACCAAATTACTTGTCTACTTTTTCTCTTTCTAAAGAGTGTTTATAAGCCTCTTTGAAAAGAAAACAGTAATTTCTGAATTATTTAATTCGATTATGCATTACTAAAACACTAAAAACTCAATACCCAGTGTCTCGCCATTGACTGCTAATTGTTTCTTCCTGCGTGATTGAACCAAATGGGATTGCCATGTTTTCTCTTCAGGGTAATACACTGCTTCAACAGATACATACATAATAAATAATTATTGATAGCTATAACCTTCATTTTTATTTTCACAATTAATTAAATGAGAGGCTCAAGCAAGGTGTGCTCTGTTAAATGTTTTGCCCTCTAGTGGTTGAAAGAATAAAAGAATATAAATTCTGAAACACATTTGAACTAAAAAAACTCTGAAGGTCTCTCAAGGAACCAAAGGGTTGCATTAGGAATTCAAGGGTCTGCCTGCAAGTCTTGTCCAAAAATGGGATTCTCCAAGTGATTAAAAAAAAAATCAAGACACGGATTTTTCATGGAAGATGGTTCTCAATAATAAACTGACCAAACTTCCTTATTCACTTAGAACACATTCCGTTATCAATGTTTATCTTGTCTTGATTATTTTTGTACCTGAATCTATACGAAACCACATTATTTAGAACTATGTTCTACACCTGGGGTGACAACCTCTCAAATCAATATCCTTACAGGAACCTATTAACTGTTGTTTCTACTAACTAATGAAAAAACTTAGGGAGTTCTGCCAGTCTTAAAAGGAAACTAGAAACTGATTTTTAAATGTCCATGCCAAACAAATAAAAGGATAATATATGGAGCTTTTATATTTGATACTTATGAAATGAGGGAAAACAAGCTCCCCTTCTAGACTCTAGAAGGAGAGTCTTATAGTTGAGGCAAGAGTGAAGTTGGTTGTAAAAAAATATTCTTCAAACTCATACATAATCTAAACATATAAATATGAATGACCTTCAAAATCATCTGTACAGGCACCATTAAAGTATGTTAAAAGATACAATTCATAGATTACTAATATAAACTTTTACCCAATACAAATTCATATTTTTTATTACTCTAATGTGTATTTAACCTTGTTGGATGAAAACGAGGCATTCATAAAGAAAATTAAACAAACACTCAACTTTGGTCATTTGTTCAGATATTCATCAGTCTTTAACTTCAGTTGATAAATATCGTCCTAAATCTGTTTCACTTGAATAATCAGTATTTTCTATTTTAGCTTTACTTAACTCAAGTTTTTCAAAGAACAACTGTGAATGAATATAGAAATTTTCTTCACGGTTGTCATCTTATCACAGTTCATTCTTATCTTAAAATTATGAATTTGTTAAGCTCTATAAGCACTATGTGATATGTGATTAATGACATAAAATATATCTCAAGTCCCTGACATATGAACAGAGAGAAATCATGTACTTTATAGATTAAGAAATTCAATGAGCCCAGGATTCAAATCCTGCTCTGAATTTTAGTTACAAGTAAGTTAACAAAGAAACCGAGAGCCTCATTAAACACCAATCATAGTACTATGTTTAATATTTTATAAAAAACATTAAATTTATTTGGAAGCTTGAAAATACCTCTGTTCTTTTGTTCCATAGCCAACTGCTTCTCAAGTGTTTCCCTTAGTTCTCTTTCCCTTAAAAAATCCATCTTCAGCTCTGTTTTTTCCAGTTGGACCTGTTTTTCTTGAGCTCTGGCATTATCTATGGCAACTTTCAAGAGTCCCTGTACAAAGAAGGCATTCAGAATTGTAATATTTTGGTACAAAGCACATTTCACTCATTACTTAAAAGCATTTTAAAAGGAAATAACCTACTTATCAAATTCTTTCATTTTTGTTATATATTAACTCTGTTCTCACTAGGACCTAAAACACAAAACCTCTAAATCAAATGAAACTTTTTAGGTAGACAAATACTTATGGAATGCAGATTAAAGAGCCTCTAGCTAGTATACCTAGATCTAAAGCTAAATGAAAACAGCAGATAGGAATATCTAAAAAACAACAACTGAAAAAAAAATATGTTGAAACTCTTCTATAAGTAATTATTGATATGGTTTATATGACCTCAAGTGTTCTTGGGTTTACCCACCTATCTTGGAGCTTCTCCAACACTCCTTACCGAAATTACATAAGATGCAGTGGTCTTCTTTGCATTTCTCCAGCCATCAATTTGCCTCTGCATCAGGGACTTAGCTGTTTTTGCTGCTCTCAGATGTTTCCCTCAGGATTTTTATATGGTTCATGACCTTACTTCGTCTTAACTCAGGAACCACTCAAGAAAAGCCTTCTCTTGCCACTATTTCTAGAATAACTTTCCAAACCCACTTTGCTCTCGCCTCTGGAGAATACACCATAGTATTTATTATTATGTACTATCACCATATATTTATTTGTTTCCTTCTTTATGTTGTGTCTCCACTAAAAGGTAAGTTCCCTGAAGCAGGGGCACTTTCACTCATTTGGTACTACATGACCAAGACCCAGAGAGTATTTACAATTTATATGAGATATAAAAACATTATAAATAAAAATTATATATGTATATATTACTTGAGATATATATTTAAGAGGTCCAAAACTTAGTGACTAAAGAACACATATTTTTGGAGTTGATCAAAATAGTTATGAGAAATAGAGAATGATTTTTAAGGGACTATTTGATAGCATTCAAGATCTATAGTAAAAGCAATGTACTTATTTATACAACTGATTATGGAATCCTTTTTATATAATTTGATTTTATATATAATTTGATATTTTATATATAATTTTCATGTTAATTAAAATATAGTAGTAGTCTGATACGTTTAAATAAAATAAGGACATGCAAAATATAGAAAAAATTCTCACATAATATATAAAAAACATTCATAACTTCTAGGTTACTTTAGGAGATTATTAATATGATTATCAATAAATATTAGAGTTGAAATTTCTATCAATATCAACTCAGCAACACAAAATGTTATCTTGAAGTAGAAAATATTTTGCCTCACGTGAATTCTTGTAATAAGTGGATATGAGACAGGATTTTTCAGTGAAATTATAAATAAAAAATGGGAGTTGGTGCCATTTGCATATATATTCTAGGATGTGACCCCTTTGCAAGGGGCAACATAAGCAGCTTGGATCAGAAATTTCAACCCCAGCTTGACTTTGAAGCCAAGAGTTATGAACCCTTAGTTCAGTCCACTAAGGTAGCATTGTCCTGACACAATTTTATTCTCTTTTCAAGCACATATAAACTATTTTATATTTGTTATATGAGTCACTGAATTTCCCAGTTATTTCTTGTGATATAAAAGAAGTTTTAGGATTTCTACGTGACACTTCACCCCTCCCCACTCTTTTGTTTTTTAACAATAAAGTGTAGTCGGTAAGGAAACTGCCATCTTAATTCAGCAACATTCCTGTGTATGTTTCTTCTTCATCAGGAACAAACAATTAGTAACAAATGAAAGAGATCATTACATCAAGTGCCCTTTTAGATCACCCCAATTAAAACTTTAGTTTAGCTGTATTTTAATTCTAAGATACCAAATTCTAATTTTCTGCTCTGATTGCTCTTGTTGACTTATCTTTGAAAGATGTACTCTCTGTGCAATGTCTAGAGATTATTTAGCAAGATGCCAATGTTGGCACCACTTAATGTGTTGATTGGTTGTATTATCAGTAGCTGTTTAAAATAAATTACTATTAAACTATTATTGTCCTTGGCTGACAAAACACAATATTTTGGTGTTCTTTAAATATGAAACAATCATTATGAATAAACATGTTGAATAATGTTAAACTGCAACTCTAATTTGTGTAATTTTATATTAATATTGTTATAAAATATGAAGCTAAGAGAATTTGTGTTTACTGTTTCCTTTTGCTACAGTTGCTGCTAATATTGCTAATGGTAATACATTACCTATTCCTGCTGATTATATCTGAAAAATATTAGCTTTTAGGATACAATACCCTCTAGGGACTCCTTATAAGCTATATAAAATTAAGTTTCATTTTTAGACTTTAAATCAGTGCACATCAGTAGGAGTTCAGTGTGAACAAAAATCTGCACTATAGCCAAACTGATGCATATGCAAAATTATGTTATTGCCCCTGACAGCTTTGCAAAAAAAAAAAAACACTTAAATTTCAATACAGCAGGGGACTGGGAAAAGCAATAGCAAGTAGTGTTCACATCTACAAATCATTAGGAAACCATTTAACCATCAGTGTTAATGTACTTTCAGATTTGTGTGACTTTTTTAAGTTTCTCAGGTAGATCACAATAAATGTTGATTCTCATGAGGACATGCACTATTGGGCAAGATTTTGTGATGATAATATGAACACGACAGTAAACGACCAAGGTTTAAAAGTTGAATTTTTCTCCAAGAGAAGGCCAATTTTCATGATGATGAGGTTGGACAACGATAAACTATGTCCAATATATTTTATTTAAATTTCTTTCGTGGCACAGTAATTGTAAGAGATAATGATTGTATGGCTTCAAATTTCTTTTCCTATAAGTGAGGCATAATGATTGTCATAATACACTACTGTTTTTATCTAAAATATGACTACCATGTAAATTAAATTATTTTTATCATTTTTAGAGAATGAGTCTATGTCTATATATAATTTGTGTGTGTGTGTGTGTGTGTGTGTGTGTAGACTCTTGGAGGTGCTTTTGACAAAATGTAGATGTAGATAAATTATTTCCAGTTAGATTCTAGAGGTAAATGTTACTTGTTCCATATTCATATGCAATATAATATTATTTCAGAATCAGAAGATAAACAAGATTCATCAAATATCTCTGAATGTCATGAAAAATTGTGTGGTTCTAATAGAGTACAATACCGTACTTGAAGGGGATTTTAGCTATTGCCTATTCTAACTAATAAAACCTTTTTAGAAAACCAAATCAGGGATCAGATGACATGCCCAAATCCTAAACTAGTGAATTGACTAAGCTTACATCAGAACTCCTTGGCTATTTAACCTTTTTTAATGTATTTTTTTAACGTTTCTTTCCAAGATGAGAGGAATAGAGTTTCTTGAAACCAGGAACTTTCATAGACAGAAGAAAAAACAATGTCAACTGATATATTTTCAAAGAATTCTTGTAAAAAAAGATACAACTATAATTGGTTTAATGCTAATGTTATTCTCCAAAGCCAATCAATAATGAAGTTCTTGTCAAAAGCACCTTCTGGCATAAGTCTTTTCTGTGATTCATATGATCGTGTGTAATAATATGGGAACATGAGCAATCAACCCTCCACTACCATTGTGTTACCTTATTCAATTGGTTTATTCACCTCCATTTTCTCATTTGTAAAATGATGTTCAGAAAGCTAGTAAGAGGGAGACGGTTGTCTCAGTATCAGAATTTATAGTCCCGCTTCTCTGACTTCCACCGAAAGCAGAAGAACGAGTGACTGAAACAACCACCAAAGGTGAGTGATTTAATCAATAATCCCTATTAAAAAAACTCAAAACTGGTTAAGAGAGAGTCTGTGTTGATCAACATACTGATGGTGTGTTCAGAGAGGTCACGGAAGCACGTGTCCCTTCCCATATCTCTCAATCTAGACACTGATGGCTGCTCTTGAGTTATATTCTTTAAAAATGAACTGAGAACCTAGTAAATAACATGTTTTCTGAGTCTGTGGGTTACTTTAGCAAATTAATTTTAAGCAAGCAGAGGGGTTGGGCAAAACTCTGCTTTATAGTCAGAAACACAGTTTACATCTACACTTACCACTGGCAGCTAAAATGAGAGCTTGGACTGTCTTGTGTGACTAAACTCTTAACTTGTGGGGTCTGACATTATCTCTAGGTAGGACATCCACCTGGGTTTGCAGAACTGTTTAGTGTGGGAAAACTGTCCTAATTTGATGATCAGAAGTGTCAGAGATGGTGTGATAGCAGGGTATTGGGAGTAGAGGAGACACCCAGGAATGTTTCCCATTATAATGACACATTAAGGTAGTTCAATAAATATTACCTTTACTATTATTATTATCATTGTTGCATATAACACAAATTAATAAATATGGTAAACAGTGCAGCTTTGAAGTGACTAATGATTTCTTTTTTTCATCTTAGGAAACCATGTAGAATATTGGCTATAGTTTACTGTATTTTAATGATCTCTGTTTACAAATTGATGATAGTAACAAAGGAGGAGAAAGCATAATACATAATCATGGTTAAAGGTAAAAATATATCATGTAAAACCAATATATCTGATCTTGATCTAGCCTTATTTTTTTAAGTCAATGTATTATTTCATTTTTTCTTGAAAACTTTTTTTTCTAACTCTATAGCTTAACACTATTATACTTGAAATTATGTAGTAATAATGCAAATAAAAAACCTTATAATTTCTCTTAAAATTAAAATGCATAAGATTATTGTCATGACATAGAAATATGAAGACTGGGAGATATATAATCATAGTATGTTAGGCTTTACACTAAGTCTAATTCTTCATTTTCTTGCCTCAAAAGCAAAACCAGAGACTACTTCTTACAATTATAGTTGGATTATATTTATTAGATCATGGTGACTCAATCTGGTTAAAACAATTCACTGTGGTTTCAATATTCCTTTTAGACCTTCCTTGATTGTTTCATTTCTCCATATAGGCAAACCTTGGTAATTAAACTCCTACTATATATTCCTTCATGGCATATGTCTTCAATGATAAACTCATAATTAATTACATTGCTGATTTTCTATACTTACTTTATATTTCCTATTTTTACTTAATTACCTATTCTTGATTTAATATTTTTAAATTATTATAAACAATCCTGTAATAAAATAAACAATGAGAAGTATTTTCTCTCAACCTTATATAATTAGGTTCTACTTATGGTTTTAGCATGAAAGCTCAGACTGAGAATAGCAGTTAAATTTCTGCTTAGAATGTATTTAAATGGTAGTCAATGCTTAAAAGTATCATATCCAGTTAGTTTTGATGCTAAAATTCTACTTTCCTCACCAAAAATCTCACAGGAGTCTCTTCAGGGACATATTTGAATGCAAAAGTCATAATGAAAGATTATTCAGATTGAAAAAAAATGCATTAAAAGTCAATCTGTAAAAGTCTTAATCAAAATCTAGAATATACTTATATCATTCACTAATGTGAAATCTCTACAGCTTAGTGTAGATTTATTTATTCATTATTATTTTTAATCTCTGAAACAGTCAAGTTTATAACTTCCGGATTAGTAAAGATTGGGTGCTTGGATGTGTATTTTCAAATATGAGTATAAAGTGTTTTTCTACATGTCCTCCTTTAAAACACAAAAAATACATTCATCATAATTAAATTTTGATACTGGTGTCATTTGCAGCAACCATTACAAATTTTAAAATTGAGAATTATCAAAGTATAGAACATCATAAAATTACACTATTGAATATTAAAATAATAATTTCTTAAACATATTATTGTGAAGGATCTTTGAATCATTACTTGTAGAAAAAACAGATTTTATATACATTAAATTTAAATATTGTCCATTGTCTTAGGCTTAATTAAAAGAGTACATATGCATTGATAAATGTTCACTTTCAGATCTGGAATTGTAGGATTTGAAAAATATAAAGTTCAACAAAATTCTTTGTTACTACTATTCTGATAAAATACCTCTAAAGCAAATATGGACCTTTAAACTTACCATAGAAAAAGTATGTTACCATTTTGAAACAGAAAGCAAAGAACCCCATTATATGTAATTGAAATTGCAGAGGAAATTGAGGTAGGCAGAATGTAATTACCCAAATTAGAATTTGGACAAAAAGCACATTTTATACCATATGTCCAATCAGTCATACTATTTAAACATTCGTTGGGATTCCTAAGCAATTACTATAAGTCAATAAATGTGACAATAATAAAAGAAAAGCACTTAAGACCTTCTGTAAAATAATGTCAAAATATTAATGACCATAAATCCAGTATGAATGTTTGTATATGTACATGTATGTCTTGTGTGTGTATTACTGGGCATGGAACTCAGTAAGATCTTTAATATCTATTTTACCTGATGTACACAGATGTACATGGCCATATACATGTAGATATCTTAAATATATTTAATAAATATATACACATATATATGTAAGATTAAGTGGAGAAGTAAATCTTATTTTTAATGATGTGTTCACATAGTTCATGTTCTAACTTTATTGGATTCATATCCCTATGATGATTTGGAACTAGAAATAAATAATCTAGTTTGTCTTGACTATTGTCCTATCATCAACTCTTGCTAAAATATGTTCTCAAGGCTTATGGTTAGAGAGTATTTTAAATCTAGAGACACCATAATAAAATAAATTATTTGTATAAAATCTGTACATTTTAGAACTGAGATTTTCTTATCTTCCTTGATTTACTTTTTTTGAAAGAAATAATTACAACTTAATGTAAACTTCAAATATGGAAAACATTTCCAGTCTGGGTATAACAGGCCTGGTGGAGGAATAGTATTAGATAGTATTGACTTAGAAATGTGATGTTAACATATAATGCCAGAATCCATGTATAAAGCCATTCTAATGAGCAGGGTGGTTTGTGTGGATGAAACCCAGAAATGTTTTCTCTGCTGAAACTGGAATTTTCGTTAGAGTGGATATGTAACACATAGAATGCCTAACTTTTTCTTTGCTTTAAATGGAGTCATATAGATAAGAAAACAAATTTTTCCCCTACTTTTAAGAGTAAATTCAGAAACATTTGGGGGATATTTTTTGAAGGATTTAACAAAATTTAATTTAACAAAAGATAACCATTAAGAACTTGATCTCATAGAAAACAATAATATGGGTCAAATTTGGGGTAAAAAAAGTCCTATATTTTAAAATACAATCAATGATTCAGCCTTGATTAAATTTAGGTTAGACTGATGATTTATTTCAATTACTGAGATATAAAACATTAAAGTTGAATACAGTTCCAGAGACTCTAATTACATTAGTATTAAAAATGCCATATTAATAGATGAGAAGATATGTTACATTAAAGGCCTTCTGCTATGTCCTTGGAGAGGTAAATAAAATTAATTACATTTCTCCTGGGAGAAAGTTTAATATAGTAGGAAATGTGTACAGAAAAGTATCACTAAGGAAGGAATGCTAGAGTAAAAATTAAAAATAAATACCAGTGCATTATCTGCAAGCACATTCTTACTAGTAGCTACTCCAAATATGGAGTAGATGGCAAAAATCTCCATCTGGGTTCCACATGATCACTTCATGTGTGGGCAAGAAAATTCTGCTTTCTTTTATCCCAAACACTCTTAATATTTTGGCTCCATGCTCTATGTTATTGTTAACTGCAAGTATTTTTGATTCATAATGTACTGTACGTAAAATATACATCCTGGGGACTACATAGGAAATCCGTGGAAAGTTTTGTATAGCTTTTTGAAGTCTATTCTTTGAAGAAACCTTATTAACTGAAACAAACTTATGAAAGAAGGGATTTTTTTTAATTCTTTTATATTAGACACATTTTAAGTGACTAAACATATCATTTCCTCACTGGAAGGCCGGCAGTTTAAAAATAACTAAATATTTATTAGAACTGGTGTGCTGTCATTTAGTAAATCACACAAACCTAAACAGTTAGATTCCTCCCATTAATAGGCTACAACTAGAGCATTTAAGCAGAACGGTTTTTAAAATATCCATGTCATTTTCATCTAAGTTTTTATTTTGCCAGAACACTATTTTTGAGCATTTCTAGACCAATTTGATTACTGTAGCAATTTTCAAATCTTAAATTGCTAGAAAAAGTTCAACACCATGGTTCAGTCAATCTCATGAACGGATTAAGTTAGAAAGGGATGAATTTGGTGAAAATCTAAAACTGGACCTTCTGTGTTCCTTTCTTCCAGATTGCAAAAAGGCCTACCTGTATGTTGGTCAGAAGGGTCTCTATGGAAGACAATCCATCAGGAAAGAGAAAAGGAGATGGGAAACCTGGAGGTAGTGGTTGTCCATGGCCAGCTAGAGAAAGTTTGTCAAGGCTGTCTCTTGCTGTTGGTGTGGAAAGCGGGGTCTCATCTGTATGTGATTGAAACAAAAATATAGAACAAGTTACGCTTGTCTGTTTTTATTAGACCTCAGTAATGGCTTCCCTAGTGGTTTCCAGAACATTTATTGCAAATTGGTTCCTGCTATCAGGAGAAAATGCTTTCTGCTGAATTTTCTTTAATGAAAAAGCTGTGGAGATACAACAAGATAACATTAATGAGTAACTTTATAAGCCTTTTAAATGCAGTCTCTAATGAGACTGAGTTTACAGTGCCATAGAATCTTTTTAAAACAAATATTATCTCATATATAGTTGTGATAATATATTCAGGCTGACTTTATGGGCACCTTCCCAATTATCTCATTTTAGTCTATTCTATTTGGATTGACAATAGAATATTTCTAGAGCATCATATAAGAGAAATGCTTTGGATATTAGTATGTTTCCCAATTAACCCTTCCTTCATATCAAATTTTTGTTCAAATATATTCTTAAGAATCTACAAAAGAATGTACAACATTTGTCCATATCTGAAAAGAAATAGTAGAATGCAGAACTGTTCTTTCTAAAACATAATTGAATTGTTCAATGTCATTGAAATTAAAGATTTAATTACTTTGATCATAAATATCTTTTAACTTCATGTTAAAAAATAGCATTTTGTACATGAAAAAGTAATCTAAGGAAAGGATAATAAAATACAAATTCCACAACAATATTAGATTAGAAAATAAAATATAAAACCTTAGATAAATTAGCCTTTACTTTTTTTTAATTTTTTTTTAATATTAGTAGCAGTTATTTTCTTTTTTTAAGGATTTTTATTTATTTATACAAGAACTGGGGTACAGGCCAGAGGCACAGGAGGGTGACAGAATTCACCAGAGACAGAGCGGGGAGCAGAACAGGCAGATGACCAAAGATACTGTTGAGGGGAGCAGCGGGCAAGGCAGGAGAGGTCTGCCACGCTACGTGGGTTTTTCCCTGGCTGGCCAGGATTCGAACCTGTGCTGCAGAGGCTTTGGATTGCTTCACAGTGCAGTGCTCAACCCAGTGTGCCACCGGGAAGGCCCAAGCCTTTACTTTGTTTATTGAATATTTCAACATCTAATTAGAGAGATGATCAGATACAGATGCTTTTTATTCTCACAGTAATTCTATCCACTGTTCTTTACTATTTAAACATCTTCACGATTTTACTTTTGATAGATACAAATTATAGCATATTTTAGTTCACTGTGTCATATAGAAAGTTTCATTTATGGCAGAATTCTCCATTTTATATTATTTTCCTATTTCACCCCAGGAAAATTAATCAGAGCAAAGTATTTGCACAGCCCTGATAGTATCTCTCAATTTTTCAAGTAGCTAAAAACTTTAGCACATTTGCATTTATGGTTATAATTTGATTTCACCATTTTCCTTGATCATTCCTTTATTTTTCAGTACAACACCAATCCACACAACACATTCTGCAATAACCTTTCTCTGGAGCAAAAATATTATGGTAGTTGCCATACTTTCCCTGTCTCTAATGTCAGAACATGTTAAACTCATCTCCCTCACCTTTTCACATTTCTAGGTAATGAACTAAAAGGAAAGAAATGTTGGGGAGGGGAGTAATGGACATAAGACCTTCTATTAATTGTACTCCTCTCAGGCTCATGTCTCACTCCTCTGCAGTTTCTCCTTTACTCCCTCTTCTGTTTACTTACTGACAGATGATCTGAGCCAGAAAGTACTAGAAGCAGAAGTGGAGTAAGCAGCTAAAGTAGGACTCATTGTGTCTTTTTTTTTTTTAATCGCACTTGTCACCAGGGTGACAGTGAGGGGTAGGGCTACTGCATGGCTAATGTGATCAAGGTGATCTTGGACATCATTTACCTAGCTGTCATAAATTACTCCTCCAGACCAAGGCTGCTAGTGTTTTCTCATAATAGCTCTGAAAAGGTGCTTGTTAAACATCTCTGTGCATGTGAAATTGTTTAAGAATGAGAGCAATATTTTTAGATCAGCATCACCTTAGCTGTCACATGTTAAAGAAAATGTAGCTTAATAGATCATGGTGATAATAATTGCTTGTCTCTTCAAGAAATGCTTAGATCCAGATGACCACCTGAGTTTGCTTTCAGCTTTACAGTCTATGACTCCACAACACTTTAAGGTTATCTAAGAAAAAAGCATCATATGTATGTACACACACACACACACATTTGATTATAAGTCCCATTATCCACATGACTATTTAACTTCAATACATTCATACTTGACTGTGTTGCCTGTTGTATGAATTCATTCATTAAATCACTCTCCATACATGCATTTGTGTAGTCAATAGCTACTTAACATGAACACTGTATAAGGTACTGAGAATAAAATGCTGAAAACACAATCTGCAAGTCTCAAAAAGTTCATTCATCTATACTAGAATCTATTGTTAGGTAGTTAATTACCATAATTGGTAAAACATTTTATCCTCCATTATTATTCTGTTAACTAAGTCATGTTTCATGTGTTTGTGCATGCACATGTCATGTTTATTTTCTGCAGTTGCTCCAATGGAATATTCTTCTTGGTCCTCATGGTTTCAATTATATGTGAATAGATTATCATTTGGTATAAACTCAACTAGTGTCATTCACTTATCACTTTACATACTAGAGATACTGAGTTATTTTAACTCAGCCTCTAATTAAGAAAAAGTCTAATTTTAAGACTGCCTATGAAATGGAAGTGATTATTAAGATAGACATATGTTTTCAAAAAGAAGACAAAGATCAAACAAACACAACTTTTTTTTTTTTACTATCTAAGGAAAAGCTTACATCTATGGCAATTAACATTATAAAAAGTTTCATTTAGTCTTCCTACAAAGACAGTAAAATTGAGAACATAGTTCTTCCTTCTGAATTAATAGTGACCTTCTATACCCTAACTATTCTAAGATTAAAGCAAAAATTTGAAAGGCCAGACAATGTGGAAGATAATTTTGTGGTCACATAATCTGCATTGAATTCAAACAGTGAATGATGATGAAACACAAATTCACAAACACCTTTTTCAATCTGATATATCTGAACAGATTTTTTTAATGAATGTTATCGTTTAAAATAGTTGCCTTGTCAGATGCTATGATCTCCGGATAACTATAGCATTTGCAATGTCATCTGATTTTTTCCCTTATTTTATATCCTTATTTACATAAGGATTTATTTCCTTATATTTTATTTTTAAATAATTTAAACTTTCAGAAAAGTTGCAAGAACTGTAAAAAAAAAATTCCTCTAGACCCCTGTTGTGGATTGATTGGAACTGCTTCCCTCTCCCCATTTTATGTATGTCCATGCCTAATACACATAAATTAGTAATGCTAGCTTGCTTGGAAAAAGGGTCTTTAATTAGAGATGCTATTAAATTAAGGGTCTTGGGCTCATCATGATGAGGGTGGAGGTCATCATGAGGGGCTCTAAATTCATTGATAATTATTCTTATAAGAGAAAGACAGAGAAATGATTGAGAGAGAGAAAGAGAGGAGAAAGAAGTAAAGCGAAGGGAGACAGATACAAATTTTACAGCCCAGCTCAAGGCATGCTAACAGCTACCAGAAATTAGAAGAGGTGGAACAGAATCTTGGAAGCAGTTCATCCCTACTGAAACCTTCATTTTAGACTCCTGACCTCCAGAACAGTGAGAAAACAAATTTTTATTGTTTTAAGTCACCAAGATTGTTTTAAATTACTTATAGCAGCCTTAGGAAATAAATTCAAATCCGTACTCAAATTCACCAATTGTTGACATTTTGCCACATTTGTATATTAATTATTTTTCTGTCTCTCTCTATCTTGTTCTATGTGTGTAGGTATGTGTGTTTGAACCACCTTCCCCTTTCAATTATTAAGACTTCACTGCATATTTCAAAGACATACTCTTTCGTGACCACAATATAAAATCAACAAAAATAACATACAGAGAATGCTATACTTCAGTCAAGAGTACATATTCTAATTCTGTTATCTGTGAGTTGTTTTATTATAAAGAGTAACATATGAAATAAGTATTTTGATGTATTTGGTGAGAACTTATGGAGTATTTTCTCTGAGCATGTCATAGGTATGTAGTAGCTTTTAAGATGACCTTTGATGAGTTTTCCCTCATGTTATTCACATCCTGTCTAGACCCTTTCCTAGTCTGAGTTAAACCTAGCAAAGGCATACAACACATGATGTACGTGTTCTTTCATGATTCACTTATGAGTGTGTTTCCTTTTCTCTCTCTCTCTTCCTCCCTCCCTCTCTCTTTTTTCCCCTCCCTCCCTGCTTTTTCCCTTACTTTACTCCCTCCTTTCCTCTGTCATCAGGTAGAAGTTAGATGAATGGAAGATGAATCTCCCTGACCAGTCAAGTCTTTAGATAAGGAAGATAGTTTTAGATAAGGCAGGTGCTACCCAGACAACATGACTGCAACCTTATGAGCAATCTTAAGAGTCAGTTACATTACATTGTCCTTTATTCTTTTGCAGGCCAGAGTTGTGGGGGGTGAGAGGGTTCACCAGAGACAGAGTAGGGAACAGAACAGGCAGATCAACTGAAATACACTGCTGAGGGGAGCAGCGGGTGAGTCAGGAGAAGTCTGCTGCGCCATGTGGGTTGCTCCCTGGCCGGGGATCGAACTCATGCTGCAGTGGCTGTGGTGAGTCTCATAGGTTGCGTCTTAAACCCTTGTACCACCAGGAAGGCCCTGTCCCTTATTCTTGATGCACAGAAATTATGATATTTTAAATGTTTGCTGCCTTATGCCATTAGGTTTTGATTTAACCCCTCAGGTACACATAATTAAACAGGGTATAATACTTTTTTAGCATATTTTAGGAAATGTAAGGAAAGATGGCTTAGCTCCAGTTTCTATCAGCCACTGCAAACATGTAACAATCTCTTCAGGCTTAAATTTCCTTGATTTAAAAAAAAAAAAGCAGTAGATATAATTCAATGTTACCTCAATACAGGTAAATAAATAAATTTTAAAAATAAAT